GAGTCAGTTCTCCAGGCATGCTGGCTTTCATGGACCGCTTTGCCAGCTTGCCAGATGGAGGTTGGGATTTCTTGGAGCACCCTGCTGCAGCCCTGTTTCTTGAAGGCTTGATCTTCTGGCTGTTGGCATACCCGGCTTTCCTGAACATGTTAATCCTGTCTTGCAGGCTTTCGCGGGGAAAGCCCAAGATACTTTCTCTGGAGCTTCTTAAGAATGCTTCGGTGATGTTCTTCCAGTGGGTTCCTATAAGCATCGTACAAGTAGTGTATCGAATTACTCGGGGCGTCAGCGACAATGCCATGCATCAGGCGCTGGCGTTTGGAGGCTCAGTGCTGTGTTTTCTGGTCTGCAACTATTTGCTGGCCCTTGGCTTGAAGGCCTTGCTGAAGCGGCCGGGGTGGTAACTTGGTATGACGCCGCCCTATGTACAGCGGAGTTTTCTGAACGGGATCCCAAGGTCCACACCCGAAGGTTTGGATCCGAGGTGAAAATCCCAGTCGTGAAGACATGCCTCTGGAACATTCCTGGATAGCCGACGCACAGCTGTTCAACTCGAATGTTGCTTCAGTTCCCCCAAATAAGATTAGACCAGCATCGACCCCAACATCATGTGCGCAGGTTATGTAACAGCAGGGCCTTATCAGTTCCACGCGCGCACAACGATTTGCACACCAAGCTGGCAAATTCAAAGACGATTGCTCCTTTTTTTCAGAAATGCTGAGCAACGAGGACAGGTGACACCCGCGACCGGAAGAGCAACTGACTGCAGCAAGCACCGGGAATCGACATGTACACAGGAATGACAAAGCTCCGACGCCTATTTTGAACAAACTCCTGCTCCGCTCCGGCCATGGTTCTCAAGCGAACCCGCAAGAAACCCAACCTCTTGGCGAAAACCGCAACAGAAAAACTGAGGCCTCAAGTTAAACCCAGTAGCATCACAAGGACTTCCTGCACAGCTGTGCACTGATGAAGGGCAGGTACGGCCACGAGAAATAGACACACTCCTGACGCTGCCCCGCCTGCGCCAACGAGACCCAAAACACGCTGTTCATTTGACACGATTGCCTGAAGGGGACTACTTCCTGGGTAGGCGCGCGCGTTTTCGCGGCTTGACCTAGGCGACCGAGCTGGGAGACACAGGGAGCCACATGAGTTCGTTTCAGCAAGCCGGCGAGCACCTGACCCAAGCTTCGCCGGCCCCGGCCAAAAATTGCTGGGAGAGAAGCCGCCGCATTCGAGACGCACGGAAACAAACTAAGTCTTGCCGTTTTTGGCCGTCGAGCTTGCCGGGCGGAAGCCAAGGCGAGCGCATGCGAGCGCGCAATGGACCCAGGCGCCACGCTGTGAGAGAAATGCAAGCGCTTTCTTGAACCCATCAAATGGCGCACACAGACGCGACAGACAAAGGAAACCGTTTTGGCAGAGCTGGGAAACAACAATTGGTCACAAAGGGAGACACGAGGAGCAGAGATCTAGCCAGGGTTGGGAGACAAATGAGAGACAAAGGAATTCGCTTCCGACGCGGGCCTCCAGCGAAGCATCCGTTCCACCCTTCTAAAGCAGAAAAAACTAAGAGTTTCACAAATGAAGCGTTTTGGGGATAAGACGCACCGAAGCAGCAAAATGTCTAAAACACACGGAAACTGGTCGAAACCAAGACTTGCTGACGCGGTTGCCTTTTGGCGCTTGCCCAAAGTACGGGCTCCGTTCCGGAGGGGTGTGTATTTTTCTGCCTAGCGAAGCTGGCGCGCGACGGGACCAATTCTGGTCGGGCATCAGAAAGCTCTTCGAAGTCTGCCTGGTGGAATCTGGCAGGCTGAAGCCCGAGTTGGGCGAGCCAAGTCAGGATCCTGATGGCCTGATGGATTGGAAGAAAAGAAGCGCCGGCTGCTCGCAGGGCCACCCCTATAAACAAAAGGGTTCTATGTGATCACGCGAAAGCAGACCCCGAACACATCTTCAAAAAAAGTGTCCAGAGACGTTCCCAATGACTTCCCCCAACATATTGTCACGGGCATCTCCCAAAACACATCCTCAAGGATACTAAGAGCCATCCCCAATCCCCAAAGGCAAGCCACTGACATCCCCAAAAGACATTGCCAAAGGCAGGCATTCCAAATTACAGACGAACCTCAAGAGAAAGCCTCAAAGACATCCCCATCGCATCCAAAAGGAAAAAAATAAGCTCTGGTGCTATCCCCAACAGCATGCGGTGCTCTTTTTACTGCTCGCACCACCCCGCAGCCCTTGCGGAACCTCGTGGAACCCTCGTCTCGGTGGAACCTTACCTCAGGGCCGCCCCGGCCCACCCGGAGCCTAAGACAAAAGCGGCGGTTTGCAAAGAAGCAAAGGCTACCAGCGCCCAACACAAACTAATAATCAGGAACAAATAGCAACCCCGCTAGCGTCTGGCTGTTTGAAAGGGTTATGTGCTCCAATGCTTGCTATTTGCTATTTGCTATTTGATGGACTGCCCAATTTGCAACAGAACAACACATTAGCAAACTATGCCTGCGCTTCCAATGGCGAGCTGACACTTGTCAAGCTGACTTTGAACACATAGGGAAACAGCTGCAAAGCAGCGAGGAAATGAGTTGTTTGTCTTTGGAGATGGTTCTGGGACTCTTGGGGATGACTTTTGGGATGTGCGTTGTTTCTTTTGTTCTCCCCCCAACAGCAAGGCTTTGGGGCCTCAGCCCAGATAGGAATAACTGATTTGCGATTTCTCTTGCGATTTCTCATGAATGCGCCTGCTTCCGCCACTCTTGAGGTTAGTGGCTTTGTGGTGGAGCAAACTCAGATAGAAACAATGGCCACACTTGGAATGAGACTCCTTGCGCGTGGATTCGTTTCTTGGCAGCCTGCAGTCCATTCGCAAGGCGCGAATCGAGGGAACTGCCCCAACTGCTGCCAGGTGCTGAACATCACGGAGCCCAAGCCGGGGATCAACTATGTCCTCACCAGGGCGCGGCGCCAGAGGTAAATTTTGGCGCCAGGAGCTCAATCTGTGCCAAGGTCAGCTCCCAGGATGCGCAGGTGAAAATTGTCCGAAACCTTGACATGAAGGAGTTGGACCAGGCTGGAACATGGCAATGGATGCATATGGATGCCATGGATGCCATGGCCTCAATCCATTGTTGCAGGCTCAGCGCCTTATACAGTTCGGTCGCGACGATGTGGACACCAGCTGCCTGTCGCCGTTGAGAAGGCGCGAGAAGGGTGCACAGCGCCGTGCCTGTGACCGCGTCTTGCTGAGAGCTTTTGGCAAGGGCTCTTTAGACATGGCGGGTCAAAATGAAGCCACCAGGGGACCGCAGATTTTGGTCCATGCTGCCACTTGCCGGGGTAAACAAAGCTTGTCGCTCTCGCAAGGCCTCGACGGTCAGCAAATTCTAGGCGGGAATTTGGCTTGAGAGTCCGCATGAGAACCGAGCGTAGGAACTGAAGGCACCTTGCATGAGTTGTGCGAGCCGAGCCCCCGGATCGGCACTTCGCAGGTTTTCCTGGTTGGCATGGACGGGATGACGGCGCACAAAAGGGTGCACTGGCTTTTGAACTGTTTATTGTGCGTGGTAGCTGCCAGTCGACGCACTTCATTGAGACGCATTTGGAAGCCGTCGGCGGTAAGTGTTTTTTTCATTCGTCAAAACCATCAATTGGGATAAGTTTCACAACATGGCCAGATCTCACTCCGAGCCTTCAATGCTCCAAGCATGTCTTCGTTTTCCCATCTCGAGACAGGGCTGGGAGTGGTTAGGAGCGCTGGCGATGGGCCGAGGCCATCTGATAGGCCTCGGCCTCTCCAAGAAGGCGAAAGTGTCTCAGCCAAGCGGCTCTCTCCGCGCTTCTTTAGATGGGCCTCGAAGAGGTCGACAGATCCGAACCATGAAAAGAAAACAGTGGCCTCGCCTGGGCAAGTCAGTGGATGCCTCGCCTATCTAGGCAAGTGGATCAAATTAGAAATCAATGAAAAGTGCAGTTGTTTGGATGGGACCGAGTTGTTCAAAGTTTATTTCCGGGGAGGGGGGGGGCAGGGCATGTCATCAATTCACATCGGAAAGAGGTATGTGGCTCAAGCCATGACGCCGGCGCTTCAAAATCCATCCGCCGCCAATGCCTACTGGAATTCTCAAGAAACTCTTCAAAGAGAAGGGGTTTGGTTTTCTGAGACCTGATGATGGTGGGCCAGACTTATTTGCTCCGCTGCGAACTTTTACTGGGGATGAGGAGAGGGGTTTGAAAACATGGTTGGGCCCTTGCTCAGTCAAAACCCTTTTGGACGCAACGGCAGAGAGAGAGCGAGACGGATACCGATCAAAATGAACAGGACACACTCAACGAGAATGACAAGGTCACCTTTGAGTCTGAAGTTGAGGAGCGGACTGGCAAGCCGAAGGCAGCCTCGTGGAGTGTCATTGCCAGCACTGGCGCGGCCAATGTTCTTGCTTTGGGCGGCAACCTGGTAGCCGTTTTGCAGTTTTTGCGTTGCACCACAGACATAAACATGCATGTGTGTGTGTGTGTGGCATGCATTTGCTAATCCAAATTCCATGTTCCCCTCCCGTGACAATGATTTTCACGTTCCTCACTGAGGTAATCCCTATGGCGCGTATGGAGTAGTGGTGGGTGGCTATGGTGCCACACCTGTGGTGACGGGTCTGGATCGATACAACCCCTATGGCACCACCCTTCCAGCCCTTCCAAGTTGGGTTCTCAGCATGCGACTGAGCAGACTCAAGTGCTGCAAGACATGTTGCTTCTCTGAACTGAGGTGCTGGATGCGGCTGTTGTGGAGGCTGGCCTGAGTCCAGTAAAAAACAGGTTTCGATTTCGGCCCATGCCCACAAAAACAACAAACCGTGGGAGGTGATTCAACTGTTTGTGGTTGTGAACAACCCGGGCACCAACCAATATGACTGGCCAATGTTGACTTACATTTCAAGTCGTGACATGCCGTGGTGCGTCATTTCGGTTCTACCACCATGAGTTCTCACGTGTTTTGAGTTTGATTCCGTGATCCAAGCGAATCAGCTAGTTTACCTACTAGTTGCTGCGTTTGTTTGTTGCTCCGAGAACTGCCAGCTGCTTTGCAAGGATGTCCAACCATGCCTGGCTACGCGGTGGCCATGCCGGGTTGCTATGGGGTGGCAGGCAGGCGAAAAAACTCGGCACACGTTTTGAACAGAAACTGTGCCGGTTTTGCAAATTTGACATGTATTCAATTTGGTTCCGATTCAATCCTGGTGTCACTTCATAGTGAAGCATTATGAAAGTGAGACGAAGAAGAGGATTTATTCTTCGCCAACCACTGGATTTCAAGATCGTCAGGTGCTGTGCCAGCCACAGAAACTCCGGCAGCGATGCCGGCAAGCACCACCCTGCCGCCTGGCTGGGAGATGACCACGGATCCCAGTTCTGGGAAGCTCTACTACTTCAACAGAGCTACCCAAGAATCAAGTTGGACCGTACCGGAAGTTTGATATAGCCATGGAGAAAACATGATGTCAAATTTATGTCAATGTCAGACTACATTTGAAATAGATGGTGTATTCCTGGTGGTTTTCTGGAAAGCAACGATGGAAGGATGTGGTGGCGACTTGCCGGTTTTAAAACACCGTCGCGCAAATTGGTTAGTGGGAGGGGGATTGTAGAAAATGAAGTATGTATAGATGTTGTTTGGTGTGTGTGTGTGTGATCATTTCTGTTAAAGAGCAAAAGTTGGTGAGTAGATTAGTGAAACTAGCAACTAATTATGTTTGGGAATTATAACTTTGATTATGTATGTGTTTTTGCATATATTAGTCTTTGTTTTTTGAAATTAGGTAATATAAATTGTATATGTTTTTGATTTTGGCAATAAATTAGTGGGGGTTAGTGTATTACAATATGCTATAATATGTAATGTTTCTGTGGGTTAGTGTGGAATAATATGATATTATATTCTATATTTATGGAATATTTTGATATTTAGAATAGAATTATTTGGTTAATAATTGTTGTGGGTAATGTTGGTATGTATTGGTAATAATTTTTGTATTTTTGGAATTTGTAAATGAATATTGAATAATGTAATCATTGATGAATTTTTAATATATATAATTTTGAATATATGGTTTTGATGATTTTGAACAAAAAAAATGGGTATAATAATGATTTTATTGATTTTGTCATTATGTATTTGGGTGAGATAATAAAAATAATATGTTTTTAGATATTTATTGTTTAATATTTGTTTTGGTTTTTTGGATTAATTTTGTTGGTTGAAATTAAAATGAATGTTGAGGCGAGATGGTTATTTGTTTAAAAAAAATAAGATAAAAATAAAAATGGAATTTGGATTTAAGATGACACAATATATTGTATTATTGGGAATAATATTTGGGATTAGGGGATTTATTTGTAATTAAAGGAATTTTGAAATGTTGAAGGGGTTTGATTTTTCTCGGTTGATATGATTTATATTTTGGTTTGTAAGGCTTTTCTTTATTTATAATGAAATTATTATTTTTTATAATTGATTGTATATTTAGAATAATTTTTGAAATATGGAAATACATAAATAAAATTTGGATAAATTTGGAAATTATGAAAAATAAAATTTATTTTAAATAAAGGATAATTATGAAATAAAATTATATTTTTTTTAAAATAATTGGTTTTGTTTGCATTTAGGATAATTTTGGGGGTTTTGATTTTGTTATTTTCTTTGTCACGGGTTTTATCTCGCATATTGCTACAAAATAACGTACCCTCCACAAATTATATATTTATAAAAATATAATAAACCGAATATATATAATTTATATATTAAGTTATAATATATATTATATTAAATTAATATTATATTAAATTAATGTTAATTAAAATAATATAAGTTATATAAATTTAGAATTCATATTGGGATATATTAGTTTTTTATATTAATAACTAATATTATATATATTTATAAACCAAATCTAAGAATATATTTTAAAATACACAATTTTAAAAAATAAATAAATTAATTTCGCTTGAATAACTAAACAAAACGCCGCTTACAGAACAATCGATTCTCACATCGCCAAATTCCTGCAAAACCGACTTAATACTTTAACCAAAATAATAACGGAATGTCTAAATAAATTATTTTTCTAACCTCCCAAAAAATATCCTTTATAAATATGTTCGTTCCACAACAGGTCATGCTAATACGACTTCGATTAACCCAAGGGATCATACGTTCGAATCTTTTAAGCTAGGCTGCAAACAGCTAGTTTCTTCGTCTTATCATTAACCTAAATTTTATCATTTAGACCCTTTTATAACACCCTTTTCTAAGGCTAAACCAAAAACAAACCTCGAAAAGAAAGGTTTCGATTCCAATTTTAATATAAATCGCTCGATAGACAAACAGATACAGACAGACAGATAGACAGATAGACAGATAGACAGATAGACACAGACAGACAAACACAAACAGCCATAGATAGACAGACACAGACAGACAGACACAGACAGACAGACACAGACAGACACAGACAGACACAGACAGACACAGACAGACAGACAGACAGACAGACACAGACAAACAGACACAGACAGATAGACACAGACACACAGACACAGACACAGACACACAAACACAGAGACACGCGCACACACACACACACACACACACACACACGCACACGCACACGCACACGCACACGCACACGCACACACACACGCACACGCACGCACACACACACACACACAAACATAGACAGACAGACACAGACAAAGAAACAGATACCCGAGACAGAGAGACCAACAGACAAAGAGAGACAGAGAAAGACACAGACAGAAATAGAGATAGAGAGACGTGATTCGGACGGGCTGCAAGACCGCGCATGCGAGCTCTCGGTTGTGTGTGCCCCAGTTGCACGCGGCCGCTGGCCGCTTGTCCCCTGGCGCCCTCGCCCAGTGGAGCGAGCCAGTGGGAAATGGTTTGTCATGTGTTTGTCTCGGCGCTGTTCCGCCGCTCTCTCTTTGCCCTCCACGACGGCTGCATTCTAGTGCAGGCCGTGGTGGGTGTGCCAAGAATAGAATAATTTTTATAGAGCCCGTGCCGACAAAATATGTTTTGCAATTCAGGCACCAATATATTTATATTTCATTATCTCATATATATCTAAAAATATATATTCGTCGCATGCGAAAATCATGCTGCCGTTCTCCAAACACAGGTCGCGAGACGCACTGAGGGCCGGGCTGGTCGCGATAAGGTCACGACAAAGAGTGAAAGGCGGTCGCCTAAGCAAGGTAAGAACGGATCCGCGGGCTATTAGTCTCAAAAGATCCATCTACGTACATAATTATTGCAAATACAAGCGAAAACGCGATCGACCAGAAAACATCCTGGGTATAAACATTCGCCTAAAACATTGGGAAAAATATCATTGGTTACGATTTATAAATTCTCGTATCGTTAAATTCTCAAGATTTCAACCAAAATTAGCAGATATATACCTTTATCTAGAAAATACAACCCCGCATATTTCGATACTCTCCAAACCATTTTATTTTTCCAAAAAATTCCGGATACTTCGACGATAATACCCGAAATATTTAAGAAAACAATTCCCAAAATATTCGGATTATTTCGAGAAAATAATGAGTAATTATATCTAAATAAATCCCCCCCCCCAAAAAAAAATTATAGCTTTCGAATTATAATCGAGAATAATCCATTGAAATATCTAAAATTTTCAAAAAATAAAATGTCAAATAATATTTAAATTCAATATTTATATATATATATATATATCTATAAATAATATTAATAGAATAAAATAATCAAAAAATAAACAAGCATCAATATATATATATATATATATATCAAAAACATAATATATATAAATATATAAAACATACAAATACATAAAATATGTAAATACATAATCATAAATATTAATAAATTTATATATATATATATATATCTTTATATATAAACACAAGAAAAATATTATATCACACAAATTCAACAAGCTAAACCAGCTCCAACACAAATATATTAATTATCAAACATATTCCAATCCAAATCAAAATACATATCCCTTCATTCAAGTACCTCAACAAATATCGGTGAAATCCTAAAATATCACCGACACAAACACACCTAAAACACCCGGTAAAGAAACAAAGACTCCTTTACTAAGGAGCACCCTAAACCGAAGCGCCTCTAAACAAATCCCAAACAAACCCCCAAAGCAAACCTAAACTAATCCTAAACCAATTTAAAACAATTTTTAACCCTCCCTAAACCACACAACAATAGGGGGCTAGACGAACCACAAACCAATAAAAGGAGGGGTTATCAATGCTAGACCAGACATACAAAGATATATACATGTTTGTTTTTTAAACATTATAGAGTATTGTGAAATTCAATTCTTTAATCTAATCATGGACATGGATCACTTTCTCACTTGGCGAGTAACGGATCCTGCAGGCAGGTCGTTGGCAGCACGTCGAAAAAGTCGCCCATACATCCAACTCAGGTGGCAAACGGTTTCGCAAGCCATGGTTCGGCAATGGTGTTAGAAAACGGACCAGGCTTGTTTCGGAAACTATGGAGACTTGTTTAGAAAGCTATCCTTCTTGCCTCGGCAACTGCCTTTACTTCTGAGAGCATGGCTTGGGGGTGAGTTGGTGAGTGCTCCGGCCCACGATAGCCTGGATAGACTTTCTGTATATTTGTGAAGTGAAAATCCTTGCGCATCCAAAGTCCGGCGAAGGAACTTGTCTCCTTTTTGTAGAGCAGCGGGTGGACCAGCCAGAACAGGAAAGCTGCCAGCACACCTGCCGGTCATATCGCCAACCGGGCAAGGTGTTCGCTCCATGGGATGATCCACAGGGAATCTTCCAGATCAAGCTTGATCCACTCGCCATGCCGGACCCGAACCCGCTGCCTCCTGCGCATTGCCAAAGGACGTACTGGAGAAGCAGGGCATTCGCCATGCCCGTGATCTTGGATGGCCTCACGTGATCGTTTTGGAGGGCCATTTATCTTAGGATGAATAAATTTGTTTTTAGGTTTTTTTGTGTTTCAGGGTGGGTGGCGTTTCGGCTTTTTGGCTTTTGTGGCTTTTACGTGGGTTTATGTGGCGTTTGTGGCTTTTCATTTCGCATCTTCTGCATTCACAGTTCCTCTCTGCTTGGCTTTTGCTTTTCCCATCCGCTGCATTACCAGTTCCTCTCTGGCAGGTGGCTTTCTGGTATCGCTTTTGGCGGCTTTCTGGCTTTGGCTTTTCCCATCCTCTGCTTTCCCAATTGGTTTTTGGCCTTGGCCGCCAGTTCCTCTCTGGTGCCCCCCACCTCGCTTTGCACCCCCACCCAACAACCCGCCCCGCTCCTTTTTAGATTGTTTGCCCCTAATTGAATCATCACTTCTTCGATCATCATGCGGCAACTCCCCCCCCCCGGCTACTTTTTAGATTTCTTGCAGAGATTTATTTGCACCCCTATTTGAAGCATCAC